GAGCTGCATGATACTGGCATAATAGATTGCCCGATCGGGCAACCAGCAGGTGAGGCTTCATTGCCCGAGCTAAATACTAGATGGCCCCGGGCCATCGGGCAGTCCTTAATGTCGAGCCCTGGCATGTTAAATGCCCAGCATTCGGCGCCACTCGATGACGTAGTATACTTGAAATAGTGGCTCTGCAGCAGGTTTACTCGACATTGAGAAACGGCCCCTGTCTTTCCTTTCATCCTCTCTGCTTCTTTATCTTTCATCTAGCCTCCTGTACTGTCTGCCTCTGTCTTTCTTTAAGTGTCTGGCTGTCTTTTCTCACCTCCATTGTGCCTCGTTTATTTTACCCTTTCTTTCCTTACCCTTACCCTGTCCCCACCCCATTTTTTTACATTCAGACCGATGATCGTGACAGTCCTCATTAATTGTGTATAATAGCGTTAAGTCTCTGAGCACTCGGATGGGTCACACCGTTTGGAAGATGGACGAGCCAATATCAGTGAATGTGACAGTTTAGTGCTTTTCTGCATAGACCAGTCCAGCTGCCTTCACCCTTTTTATTCCCCTTCTCACTCCCAGCCACCCTCCTCTCCCCAAAGCTGTCAGTTGCTCTTTCTCCTGAGCTGTAGATAAGGAAGAAAGGCTTCTCTAATGTGACAGTGCATAACAACAGCGGCCTGTCAAGCCAATAAACAGCTCTTTGTTGCCATAAGGACAATGACTGAATGACTCAAGTGCATTTTTGGTAACAGCTTTTGTCAGCCCTCGTTGATATTTTCATAACGAACAAGCGGTGTGATGCATTTGGAATCCCAATTTAGCAAGAAGTGCCTTTCAATTATGCGCAAAGGTGTTATAGCCATCCAATGCCCGCTGTAATGAACATTCCCAATCATCTATGTAATGTTTTCAGGACCCGGACCCTCCCACAGGGTTTAGAGTGGCTAATTATTACAAGACTAGTTTTGTAAATGAGAGGAAACAGCTCCATTAGACAGAGTCCAATCTTCAGAGGCAAGAGGCAAGACATGCTTGATTTTCATTGAAGAAGATTTGTTGATGCCTTGCCTACCAGACCCCAGCTTCCACTAAGCAGAGAGTTTAATTAATAATGACTTTTTGTCAAAGAAAATGTATAAATGGCTATATTGTATATAATAGAATGTCATTTGAAAAATATCAAACGTGTTAGTTCCAGATTTCAATGAGCTGCTTTCTTTGGATCAGGGGAATTGTGATTTTTCAACCATTCACTTACATTTAATCAATAAGCTTTAAAACAAGTTTACAACAGCTCTAGATGACTTGAGTTGTATCATACACAGTAGGAACTGCTTGAGCCTTGGAGCAGGACATATTAAGCCTTTTTATACAATGTAATCTATAAGCTCCAAAGGACTGTGTTTCTCAGTCAATCAAATGTCTTAATGATAATGCAGATTGTCATTTTCTCATGTATGTTATCCTCAGAATTGTCGTCATCTCTGCTTATGTCTAGGGCTGCCTCAATAAATAAAAAAATGGTTGCCAATACATTTTCTGTAGCAGGCTTATTGTAGCATTGCATGCATCTCTCATTGCGTCTCAGTTTAACTTCCAGCCCATCCTTTATTTTGCTCAACCTGTCTCTCTCTGCCCCCCCCCCTCTCAGGTTTACCCCGGGTTAATGGTGACTGCCGGCCTCATCCACTACGTGCTTAACCTGCTCCACATCACCGTCCACATCCGTGACGTGTGTGTCTTTTTGGCACCGGTGTTCAGCGGTCTGACCGCCATCTCCACCTTCCTGCTGACGAAGGAGCTGTGGAACCATGGTGCAGGGCTGCTGGCGGCCTGCTTCATCGCCATCGTCCCTGGCTATATCTCCCGCTCGGTTGCAGGCTCTTTCGACAATGAGGGCATCGCCATCTTCGCCTTGCAATTCACCTACTACCTCTGGGTATGTACACTCTTCATTTGATGGAAAGATGCAATACGGAGCTATACATAAAACTGTAATCCAGGCCAACATGTCATTTCTATTGCGGATGCACACCTTCTGTGAATAGTGTTTCAGGTGTTAGGAATCAGAATAAAACCTGATGCATGTCCTCTTAAAGCTTCTAAAGCTGAAAGATATGTCAACATTTCTACCGCAACAGTAAGGGCTTTATGTAGCCCTATTTTCAATCTTATTTGGCCTCACCTTAGATGTTGAATTATTTATCCAGAGGATGAAAGGCACACTGGGCATCTTTGCAGAGCATGTGGATCCCAGGGAATGGTATGCTCCACAGTACAACCTTCACAATAGGATGACCTTTAAGAGCAGACTAGAAAATATTATGGTTTAAAAGGTTGAATAACCCCCCTCCCAATTTACCTTCCTTTTTAAAATACACAAAGTGAACGCAGCCTGCAGGCCAGCTGACCTTGTTGAGTTTGCACCATCATAGTTCTCAACAAGAATCTGTAATATTTTTCCTTTTAGATAATTAAAACACAATTTGTCAAGTAGTAGACCTTGACCGCATAAATAAATTCCACTGATGGAGAGAAAGTGTTTTCAATTCAGCTTGGATGTCTGCACGAACCACAGAGTAATGGTCTGATCAATGGTCTTCCACAAAAGATGAAAGATGTCTGAAACAGCCATTGTTAGCTGCCTTACAGCCCTGCAGATAGTCTTACCATGAATGCCTCTTGTGTGTGTTTGTATTCCTGTGTGAAAATGAAGAGATCTGCTTGGCAAACATCCCCCCCTCTCCCCCACTCATTCTTCTTTCTTATTAGAATTGATCTTGACAAGTATTGAAGATGATTTCATTCTGTATTGAACTGTACCCGTTGAGTAATACCCACTTTTTCTTTACGTTTATAAACTTGGAATAAGAATGATGAACAGGATTTAGAAAACATTGAAAGGACATTTAACATTGAACATATTTCCAGCCAACCAGTGAAAATAGAAGTATTCCGTTCCTACTTCTGCTAAACTGTTGATCTAAAGCAGGGGTGTCAAACTCAAATACACAGTGGGCCAAAATAAAAAAATCGGTACTAGTCGAGGGCCGGACTGGTTCAATGTTTATTGCAAAACTTATTGGAATGAACTTATTGCACATATTAAACCTGGAACTAACAAAGCTTAAATGATTGCCTATAAAAACAACATTAAACATTAAATAATCAGTTGCATTCATTTCTTATGATGACATTTTTCCACAGGCCAACAACAGCTTAAAAAAAACTATTCCCCTCAAAGAAAAAAGCAAACATGCCCTGTTGTTTCAAGAAACAAAGTGCAGAAGGAAACATCCATGTAAACTCAGTGTGCTGCTCTGTGATGCTAGTTCAGATACTTGGCGTCTCATCTAGGGTGCAAGGTCATCAATGTTTGGGGTCAGGCTCTGAGCTGAGGAAACCCTCAGGATGGAGCGAAGGTCTGCGTGCAATATACCGGCGGGCCAGATCTAATAGTAATTAAAAATTATCCTGCGGGCCGAAATTAAATCCACCAAGGGCCTGATTTGCCCCCGGGCCTTGAGTTTGACACATGTGATCTAAAGACATCTACCGATTTAAGAGAAGTGAACTACCCATGAATTGCCAATACAAAACTTGCTTTCAATTAATTCCCAGCACTATCCCTTGCAAAGGAGACAAAGCAAATGTTGTGTGCGTTTCCTTAATAGGAGGCAACGTGCCAACAATCCCAGATAAAGTAGAACAAAGAGGACCCTTTGAACATTAGAGCCTCAACCATCAGTCGGACATTCAATCTGAAATGAGATGTTACAAGGTTAATTGTTGCACAAAGTAATAAACAACTGGGATCTTTAAATCCGAAAGGGATTTGGAGTTTAGGTAAGTCGTTACAAACCAAGGTGACATACAAGATAAACACTTGAATTCAACTTTCTTGGCTAGCAGTGACAGCAGGACTTTTGTCATTCATTGTTGCATCCCAGTGGAGAAGATGTCTGATACACTTGAGAATTCAGGTAGGTGACTGCCAGGCTAGTTGCTACTCTTAAGGGAATCATTAGTGGCTTCAACTTAATGCAAGTGGAAACAGGGCGCTAGTGGAGACTAATGATACATGAATTGTAATTCCTTGCTGTTAATGCTGTAGCGCTGGACTTGAAAGACATAGACTTCTAACAAATGTCTTCTCCTGTCATGCAGAATGTACTTTTAAATGAACAGCTGTGGGCGGTACGTGATGTAACGGTTAAAGTGGTCATGTTTCTGCTACTGAGGTACGGGGCATTGCTGGATGAAAACTCTAAATGCATGGTTATTACTGTGTATAATTAGAACGCCTTGGGCATATTTCTGAGTACAACATTATCCTGTCATCTCATGGAGTCTATACAATGATTTTTTTCAGCAAAATGGCCACATGTGTCTGTTGATTGCAATGATAGAATATAACTAAGAGTTGAGGGAAGCAATTACAGTTATCCATGTGAAAACATTTCACACCTGCACAGTAAACCTGAGCAGGTGTCGAATGAATATGGATGTCAAATTCCAATGTAATTGTCAATGTATGAATGCAAAAGGGATCAAGCAGCTAATTTAGGTGATATTAAGGAATTGATCTGCAATTAGCCACTTTGATAGGACTGAACCAACAAGAAGCCAGCTGCATTCCCCTGTAAGGCATTCAATCTCCCCAACATGCGTGCAGCAGTGAGAACATGTCATACATGTCATCATTCTTAGTAAACATAAGTCCCTGGCATTATGATCTTTATCGTTGCTTTTACAAATATTAGGAATAACCAAAGAAATACCCTCACTTACTACTGTTTCCTTTGTAATGCTTCTTTGTGTCTATTCATGTAACGTGAACCTGAGCAACAGGTGTAATGCAAGTATATTAATATATTATTTTCAAATGCTTTTTTTTTTTTTGCTTTTTTTTTTAGCTCAGAAGCTTTTGGTATTACCTTAAAAACAGTATGCCATGATATGATAGCTTTATCTTATTGGAAGTTCATGCAAATAAGCCAAATGCCTATTATTGATCAACCATAAAGTAGCTGCCTAATTTGATATAAATAGGTCATTCATGGCTCTTTCACATCACCCAGAGTTACAGAGATGAGGCAGGCGAATCAAACTCCACTTCATTGCTTCATACCTGCAGCGTTCCAACACAACTGCCTGCAGCTGCTAAAGGGTATCATCATAGCATGAGATTGAGCAAGACCCACAGGACTTCCACATTATTGCAGACATTTGAAAGGCCATATTACCTTACACTTCAGCATTCATTGAAAAATATTCTGTCTTACCTGTGTCATTCTAAAACGACTCATGTCATCTAATGGTCCGAGCCAGAGGCAGCAATACTTTTGAATGAACCAATTAAAAGCTGTTTCTAACCACCTTAAATCAAGACACACTTGTGAAAAATGACTGTGGATCATTGCAGCTGATAGTTTCAAATACTGCAAAGCACACAGTTACATATTCAAGGCCTTCCACATGCCAAATACAAGGTCATGTTTTTATCTTCACAAATGTTTATTTCTTCAATGGAAATTGAGGTTTTTGCACTTGATGTTGTGCAAATGATCTGTGTTTGCAAAATAAATGTCTCTTTCTAAGGGGATGAAGTGAAACATAACATTGTTGTTGTAGATGCTGTCAAACTCTTGATCTGCATTGGCAATTATACGAATAGAAACATCAGTTGTAAAAAGGCATCAACCTTTGAAAATGTACTTTATTCTCGTTTTCTTTTTTATCATTTTTCTTTCAAGTTATTTTTGAATAAAACTGCATGTTGCAAGGTTCACTTTAGATGTATTATTTAACTTTCATTTAACTCATTGAAAACTACAGAGTCGGTTCCTACACACACAGATTTGTATAATAGTCACCAATGTTAGACAGGCAAACTGGAACTGTAAGTGCCTAACAGTCCTCATTCAAGTGGGTACTGAGTGAACAGCTTACATGTTGCTTCCCAAAGGCAATGAATGGTACTATGAGTAGCTACTAGGCTATTTGTCCAATTTTTATTTTTGCTTCAAGGCATTGATTTCCCTTTATGCTCAAGCGTAAAGACATGCTGCAGAGTGAAGCCTTTTATCCAGGTAGTGATACAGGTATTTCCTCATGCCATGCCTCAGCGCTATTTGTCACACAGTAACAAGCTTGGAAGTAAAGTTGCCTCCGGGTTGAAAGGGAGCTTTTATCTGTTCAAGCATTCAGCCATCCCAGTTTATGTCACTTTGACAAATTGTGCATGGGTGCATGTCTACGTGTGGTTCGGTTTCATGGTGGTATTGGTCACTATGCATCCAGCTGGCAGACAATTATCTAACTGTTGCTGACCTGGCAATGACGTACGTATGGTGTCCAGGTGGCTGGCTGAGCATGCCAGGTGTGTTTACAGTTTCTGTCCTGCAACAACACATCTGGCTTTGTGCTTTGTGTGCGACAGTCTAACCAAACAGGTGATGGTGTCAATGGGACAGTTTACAACCTCAAACATGCAGTGCATATTTGGAAGCCAAACACAATTAGGAAATGTGCATTATGCTCATCTGTATATACTGGCTTTTATATGTGAATCATTCAAACCATACATCATTTAAAATCACTGGCATTGCAGAGACTTCTAAACAATATTTGAATCAAACCGTTGTATCTTTTAGTTTTAGATTAGAATACACTCAGATTACTGACACCAACAAAGAACTACACCCAACATTCAACAGCTGTTTCCACCACCATATAAAATGTTTGAGAGCAGTATGTAACTTTGCAACGCTAGAAAACTCATGTGTGAGTTGACAATACTAAAAATATTCAAATGTCTGCATATAGAGCAAATGAACAAAGAGATGTCAGACATTTAGATTTTAGAGTCGGGCAACACGCACTGCAAGCTCTGTAGAACAAGTGAAAAGTGTAAAGGGTGAAATTAAGGTCTCGTCACTGAAATCTGGATGAACTGCCTTATACAATAATGATGAACTAATGCGCTCTAATCCCAAAGTTTCATTTCTTCTAAATGTTTGAAATAGTATAAATATCACTAATGAGTAAATCATGAAAAGGATTACACCTAAATGATAAAGGTTATCTTCCCAACAATCATAATGTTTGTCAGCCTCTTTATATAGACAGGTAGACTTTCTTTATGTTTACAGCAAGTATTCCAAAGACATAGTATAGGGAATATGGCACCTGTAAACATTAACCAAAGAGCAAATGTGTTGTTTAACTTCTAAGACATATAATATAAGATTTTTCCACTTGTCTACCTCAAATCATTTTTTACTTTGAACGATCCCCCGAACCTCACCTTTTAAGTTTTGAAGACCAATCCGAAAACTGCCTCCGGTACTATTAGATTTAGGAACAGGAAATGTGTATGAGGGACATCTGTCACTACGCTGTTCTAATGGCTTCTTGTCACCCTGTGTGTACGGACAATACGTCTCAAAGTGAAGCAGGTGTTCCTTGCAGCAGCCATCACTGCCTCTTCAGGTGATGTGTCATCAGCCAAGCAGTGCCATCAAAAAAATCCCCCTCCACTCACCTACCACCTCTCGTGTCTTCTGTTCTATTTGGCAAGGGCCCTGAAAAACAATCATCGCGGCCATGCACCACTGCTTCCCATTATCAGTCTCATTCACCCACATTTGTCTTTGCGTTTACTTTTCTACCCTCCGTGTTTTTTTCCGTCTCATCTCCCTTTAATTGTCTCCTTTTGTCCCTCCCATTGTTTTGTTATAGCTGCGTTCGGCTTTTTCTTTCTTGTTCATCGCGTCTTGCTCTTTCTTCCTGTATCTCATTATTGCTCGTTCTTTCTTTCCCTCTCCTTCTTTACACTTCGTTCTTTTCTCCATGTGGCAAAAATGCACACTCTTTTAAGTCCAAGTCCAATCTTCATTACTCGACTCCTTCAATGTATACGCTAATAACCCATTCAACTCAACTCGCTTAATCTGTGTTTACCCAACACACACACACACACACACACACACACACACACACACACACACACACACACACACACACACACACACACACACACACACACTTACTTGCAAACCCTCCCATAATCTATAATTGAATCCCCCTCACACCCAAGAGAGACGCTTTTTTTTAACATCACAGCTCTTCTTTACATAAACACAGACACACAGTCACACTGCTGCCTTGCTCCAGCCCCATGCACCATGCCTACATTGTTGTAACAGTAATTCCACTCTTTCTTTCAGGCTCACATTTAATTAGCTGGACAGGCACCACGCTGTGTGACTTGTGTGTTTCTTGACAAAGATAGTGGAGACTGGGGCAGTTGGAAAAGGAGGTTAAGGCACCAGTTGCCACATGCCTCTGAAAGGACAACGCAATGCTGCACGCTAGCTTTGGCTCAGCTTGAGTGGGAATATTGTCTGAAGAGAACACATCAGCTTGCACAGAAACTATTGTCATCCTTATCACGCTTGTTTTCACTCTCAAACAATAGAAGCAAAGACTGAACATGGAGCTATTTATGGGAAAAGTGTAATGGGGGTTGTGCCTTTGGCAATGTACACTCAATTGCCAGTTAACACCTTGCTTAAACTAATGTAGTCTAATAATACAGCCTTCCAATTTAGCATCCGGTCTGTTTGATATTGTGTCTTTCAAAGGCCAAGGAGATTTGGAGAGAGGATTGCTGGTGTTGTTATAGTGTGTAGTGGTACAGAAAGCGTTAGCTAAAAGATTGTCAATGTCACGGCTGAATGTTTAGCGGATTTCAACAATGGGAATGAGTCCGTACCCTCTCATGACATTTAAAAAAAAAACTTTCTCCTTGAGCGAGACTAGGTTATAAACAATGACAAACGGAACGGATTAAGGGGAAGTAGATAAAAACCATTTTATTTCTCTGTAGGGTCCTTTCCATAATATTGTCAGAGACTTACAACAACAATGTCAGCCCGTCAGTGGCAAAGAAAACAAGTACTATTTGTGGAAATTGCCCAACAAGATTACATTCTGAAAATATCGTCTCGGTTGAAAAATACTGAAGTCACCCTAGATACAGTAAATATAGCTTTGTATAAATCCCAGATACACTTACGAAGAGTGTCTCTATACTGAAGTCACAGGACCAGAACACAAACAGTAGGGAGTTGGAGCTGTAAAGGTTTCTGGGATGTGACAAAATATGATTTATATGCTCCAGATTTAATTAAAATGATTGACCTTTGCTTGTAATATTAAAACAACCCACTTCTCGCATAGAACAAATAAATCTCATAGTTTTAGTACTGTTGACCCAAACAGAGCAAAGAGGCCATAAAACAAGCAGAGCTGCACCTTGGTACAGGAGAGAATGATAATTAGGTCACCACTGACCTACTTACTGTGGCCCTGCTCAACATAAAGCACTGCTTGAGGACGTTTTAGTTTGTTATCGTGTATTGAATTGATCTGTCCGTCCGTGACGCTCTGCTGGGTATTCAGGCAAGTCGAGACTATCTTGGTCCACGATCATTGATCCACCCCCATCAGAAGATCTCAGGCCTTGTTGGATATGATTATGCTACATGACACCCTCCCCTCCTCCATCTGACTGGAAAGAGCACCATTTAAATGTGTATCTGTGTGCGTGTGCGCGTGCAACTTTTTCATTATCTGTGTGTTTCTTTTTGTAAATGTTAATGTGCACTCTTGCCTGCTTTATCGGCCTGTGGCGGGAAAGAAAGCTTGTTTACAAGATGCTTTTGTCGGCTTAGACTGAGCTTCTCTCCCCACAGATGAATGTTCTACACCCTCTATGATCATTAAACTGTGATCAATAAACTTCTTTTTAAAGACTAACACAATGTGAATGTAGCACACTCGCTCCATCTTAAGTGTGCATTTGTTGTACACACACACACATTTCATTTCACTTTAGTTTCCGAATGTCGTGACTCACTCAAATCTGGTGAATCACAATGTAAATAAAGCTTTCAATGGGATAATGGCTTGGCAAACAAAAGTAGATCCAGATCTTTAGAAAAACAAACCTCATGCCATGTTATGATAAGGTTCATCCTAGGATGCTTTAGTTTCTAATGTCCCTAAACTTTGAGTCTACATGAAGCATCTTTAGATATATTTAAAGCATATTCTCTTTTGTTTCTCTTGTAGGTGAAGTCGGTGAAGACGGGATCTGTATTCTGGGCTATTGGCTGTTGTCTCTCATACTTCTATATGGTGAGTGATTTCAACTTGTATTGCCATTTTACCATTTATAAATATATGACTTGTTTATGTGATTTGTGTTTATTTTTGCTTTTGTTTATGTTTCACTGCTGTGCAACAAAACCACCCTTGTGGAACTGAAACAGGGATTGTCAGCCTGAGCCACTGTTTTGTTTTTTTACCTTTTCAATCAATTGTTGTTTTCAGCTTTTATCCAGAAATAAAAAAGCTTGGTGTAAAAAAGCTGCAACGTCATAAACATCTGTTCACCATAAGCAACAAGGGATTTGGTGTTATTTGTTTTCAGTAAAAATGCGTTGTCACTTTCACCAGACTTCTTCCCTACTCTGAAATGAATGCCATGCAAGTGTCTCTGGTAAACTAGAGTTAAAAAGCATGTTTCTCCAAACAATCCAACTTTATATGTATTAAGAGCTAGTTTCAAATTCTTTATAATTAACTGTGCTTCCGTGACGGTAGTATTGGGGGGGGGTGGGGAGAGGGTTTCTCTGTCCAGAAAGCACATGGCAAGGATTGTAAAAATAGGAGGAGCGACTCTTGTCTGCATTATTTATGATTTCAGGCAGAAACCCATCAGGGGATTGATGAGAGAGTTGAGGTAAAATGTCGATCCGTGCGCATTGCCTCAGCGCCAGATTGTTTGCGTGTCTGAGGGAGCCCGAGTGCCAATGAAAACCTCCAGCTTCTTGCTCATTCCAGGCTTAATCTCAGTGGCCGGCTTCCAGACAGATATCAAATAAAACAGATTACCGAAGTCCAGTTTTATCGATCACACTGGGCCACAGAGCGCGAGGGGCGTGGAGAGGAGGTGGGAGATATAGGAGTGGTGGAAAGATGAATAGAATTGGAGACAAAACAGAAAATGGAGAAAAGGCACAGACAAAAGGATAAAGAGAGGTGTGGAAAGATAAGGGGGGACAGGATATGGTGGACAGAGAGATGGAAAGAAATGATAAGGAGATGGGATGCGTAACTTCCTCACTTGCAATGGGAACATTAAGTCTCCATGCTTCATTCTCCTTAATACCACTTCCTCTCCCTGACACCCTCTCTCTCCCTTCCTCTGTGATTTGATGTTTCTCTGAACTGTACCTGCAGCCCACCCACTGAAGCAGATGAGTCCTCTGGCAGTGAGCAGCAAACTAGTCTTGTATGTCTCTCCATCTTAAACGCCTCCACTGTCCCCTTTGGTCCACACACCAAGCACTGCATCCACTTGTTGACCCGTCCTTTCTTTATCACCTTACACCCTCATTTTAATCAGGATGAAGCCAAGGCTACCTTTCTTGTTAGGAATTAATTGAATGTGACACTTGTAAAGCAGATATGGAGACGGAGAGGGACAGATCCCCCTGCCTGAATATTAGCACTATCAGCAGGGACAGAGGGGGAGAAGATTAAGACAGGGATCCAGCACAGTAGGACCTCACTGATGGACAGAAGCCACAGGAACCATTCGGGCAGCTGCACAGCATCCTCCTTTCATCCCTCCAGGGGTGAGGGTGGAGTGAGGGGTAAACAGAGGACAGAGCAAAAGCAGATGCACTGCACTCATTCCCAAAGCTTTGGCTTACTTTCCTCTCTAAAGCCTTCAAAGTCCCCTCGAGCACAAACCCTGTAACACCAAAAGCTCCTTTGCTTAATGAAGTATTGATTAAATGCCCAGAACAGAAGACTCCTGTGGTGATTAAAAATATGTCCCTTTGTTTAAAAATGTAAAATATTTCTTTAACTTTGTAGTGCTTAGCTGAAAGTACAGCGAGAAAGATCTCCTAGCATGGCTGTTGACTTTAAGGTGCTACGTTTTTGACAGATTTATCCCCAATTAACCCCTCCTGACAATCGGAGCGCAAATCTGATCTGAAATCGGAAAATTGGTTAGTATTAGAGTTCCATTGTGAGCAGGAAACTGGCCTATTCCCAAGAAGCTATCACTACCAGACTTGTATGTAGAATACATACACACAGGGTAGTAACCTTTTTGTTCATCCTGTATCATTAAGGGTCTTTTATTCTCAATGTCATCTTAAAGTGTTTCTAATGATCCAGAGAGTCACTGTTGGTGTTGGGTAAGCGCACAAGAATAAATCGCATCAGGCTACAAACACTTGCACACACGCACACACACACGCACACACACACACACACACACACACACACACACACACACACACACACACACACACACACACACACACACACACACACACACACGAGCAGAGTAAAACCCTTCTTCCTGTTGCATGCTGTGTTCTCTATATCGTCTTCAGAGTGGCCTTGCGGTCATCAGATAAGCCCGGTTTGAAATACAGAGTGATAACGACTAAAAGACGTTGCCCCAAACATTTTCGAAATCCTGCCCTCAGCTGATGGCCTGTGGCTCGGGCAAAGGCCTGGCAGTTTGAGCCATCATTTGAAATAGTGCTTGTTCTTGCACACTTACACACAGCCTTGCTTTTCTGTCTTGAGCACTCATCTCTGTGTAGTCCTGTAAAATGTCCAGATGGCAGCTTTTTCTTTTGGTTGATTGTGCTGGCATGATCCCAAAACTGGAGGTAAATCTGCTCTCAGGTTGCATTGTAGAGTTTCCTGAATCAAAGATACCGTTGCCATATCACGGTACATATTGATATCTGACTTTAAAAACGTGTAAATTGCATGCTAACACGCTGAACTGAGAAGGGTAACATACAGTGGGGCAAAAAAGTATTTAGTCAGCCACCAATTGTGCAAGTTCTCCCACTTAAAAAGATGAGACAGGCCTGTAATTTTCATCCTAGGTATACCTCAACTATTAGAGACAAAATGAGAAAAAAAAAATCCAGAAAATCACATTGTTTGATTTTTAAAGAATTAATTGGTAAATTCCTCAGTAAAATAAGTATTTGGTCACCTACAAACAAACAAGATTTCTGTCTCTCATAGAACTGTAACTTCTTCTTTAAGAGCCTCCTCTGTCCTCCACTTGTTAACTGTATTAATGGCACCTGTTTGAACTCGTTATCAGTATAAAAGACACCTGTCCACAACCTCAAACAGTCACACTCCAAACTCCACTATGGCCAAGACCAAAGAGCTGTCAAAGGACACCAGAAACAAAATTGTAGACCTGCACCAGGCTGGGAAACATCATGCTTTGGGGCTGTTTTTCTGCAAAGGGACCAGGGCGACTGATCCGTGTAAAGGAAAGAATGAATGGGGCCATGTATTGTGAGATTTTGAGTGACAACCTCCTTCCACCAGCAAGGGCATTGAAGATGAAACGTGGCTGGGTCTTTCAGCATGACAATGATCCCAAACACACCGCCCGGGCAACAAAGGAGTGGCTTCGTAAGAAGCATTTCAAGGTCCTGGAGTGGCCTATTCAGTCTCCAGATCTCAACCCCATAGAAAATCTTTGGAGGGAGTTGAAAGTCTGTGTTGCAGAAAAAGTTTGACCTCTGTCATTGCCAACAAAGGGTATATAACAAAGTATTGAGATGAACTTTTGTTATTGACCAAATACTTATTTTCCACCATCATTTGCAAATAAATTCTTTAAAAATCAGACAATGTGATTATCTGGATTTTTTTTTTCTCATTCTGTCTCTCATAGTTGAGGTATACCTAGGATGAAAATTACAGGCCTCTCATCTTTTTAAGTGGGAGAACTTGCACAATTGGTGGCTGACTAAATACTTTTTTGCCCCACTGTAAATATGAACATGTATGCAATATTAATGTGAACATTCTACTATGTTAATCTTAAGTTATAGCACCACTGTGCTTTTGATATGTTCAAGCTGCTGCTAAATACCATACATCACAAAAAGAAATGTATACATTTTCTCAACTAAAGCCATATTTTGACCGCTATCATACACATTTGGTAAGTGAGCTATTTTAAAACCCATGACAAGCCCGGTTTTATTTTTCCTAAACCCTTGGAAATAGTAACCATGGGAATATTTTCGATCACTATCTTCCATTTCTCCACCATGGCATTAAACCTCTAAACCCAGTTATACTCCAAGGGAAAACGAGCCTTACATGTAATGTTGACTCTAAGTCAATAATGCCCCTTAATGACGCCAGAGTCTAACTCAGAGGGATCAATATTTTTAAAACATTTGGTTGGCATGGTTTTTGTGACATGGAGTCCATCTTGTCTTTGTGCCTGCAGCCAGTTTTGATCAAATGCAGAAGAAGAGGGGGTTGAATTGCAGTTTCCTCTTTCCTCTTTCCTCTTTCTGTATCATACATACTCACTAGAAATTGAAAAGTGTTATGGTTTTGTATCCACAGTGGCGCCGCACTCTGCGTTTCCACTTTTCTATTTGTAGTCAGCTCCAAGTCAGTCAGCTACAAAGACTGGATCAGTCTGTGAGTCTGTAGTTCAAGTCATTTCTGGTTTTCATTGGAGACACTGTCCCCATGTCACTAATTGGCTGTCACCATCTGAGAGAAAAGATGCTAACCACTGCCAAAATGTAATTGCTTCCAGTCGTTCAGCATGGAACTGATTTAGACTGCAGGAGAGTTATGAATGCTCCTCATCGTACTGAGCAGGTGCAATGTGGCTCTTTATGGCAAGCTGTTGTGAATAAAGGATCAAATGTTGCTCTCATGCAATCCCTTTTCCTGTGTAATGCATGCTCTGCTGTCTCTCCCTCTTTCTCGGTTGCACTTTCTAATGCTTTATAACTTTTCCCTTTGTCTTTCTTTCTCTATCTCAACAACCCTTCTAAGCTCTCCTCTCTGCCTGTCTAGTGCTCTCACACTTACCTTTTTGCTGGTACTTGAAAACTTGTCAATGATTCTTTTTGTAAAGCTCTTTAACAGTCCGAAACCCAGCGTTGTGATATTTAGCATTGCTCAAAAACAGTTTAGGTATCATTTTAGCCGAGCCTATATCGGTGCATCCAGCATGAAAAGTACGATTGCATTTTTATAGATTCTTTATATGTCAGGTTTTAATAAGTGTGTGCAGAAGCAGTACGATGGCTGCTCTTGGATAATGCTATTCAAGGCCTTTTCATTATTTTCTTTTTTGCAGGGGTCACTTGTTTTATATCCGTACTTACTCTCTATTTGATTAGAATGATGTTTGAGAATGGAATTCATTAGAACTTTTGAATTGAGCTTCTCTTATCCTAGCAGACGCATAAAAGTGATTCATAACATAAGCCAGTCCTCACCCATTCACACACTTGCACAGTATAAGGTGCCACCTGCTTATCAGGAGTGATAAACATTGACACACACACCCACTGAGGTTCAGTATCTTGCCCAAGGACACTTCGACATGTACCAACCTTCTGTTAAGTGTAGGATCCTCGGCCACAGCTGCACGGAAAAAAATACGCGTTACAAAGACCTTTTGGTTTCCTTCGCCAACAATTTCAACATATTGTAGCAGCGCTGTGATAACCGTTTATCTTCAGGTCTGCTTTCAGTTTGAGGTTTCCAGGCAAACCTGTCATGTTTCCTGCAAAGCTGATACAGGGGGTCCGCGGGGTCTTAAAAAGTATTAAAATTTGATAAATCCATTAAGCCAACATGAAGGCTATTAAAAAGTATTAAACGGCATTTTCCAAGGTATTACATTTTGTAGCTTGTTTTCAATAAGTATATAAATTGTCCAAAGAGGTTACCTCTTTGGACAATTTATATACTTATTGAAAACAAGCTACAAAATGTAATACCTTGGAAAATGCCGTTTAATACTTTTTAATAGCCTTCATGTTGGCTNCCCCCGCCTCAGGGAGTGACATTCTCAGCGCTATGGACAGTTCCACGGCTCTGTCACTCTCTTCCTGTCTCCCACTGTGCTCCCTGGATGCTACAACCAGATGTTCCGAGCAGCTGCTACCCAAATGACATAAAAAAACACTCAAAGAGAGCAGGGAGCCGAAAAGTGAGAGGCAGAGGAGATTTTGATGGTACATTCTTTAAGTGCCTCTCGTGATGCGGTTTGTGTTGTACAAACACCAGGAAACAGGGACACTTCATCGTCAGCCTGCTGCAGTGTTAAGACAATTCTCCAAAAAGGTGCTGCTTGGCGTCCTAAAGCTGCCAACGAGTCCTCTCACAATCTGGATGTAAATAAACACACAAATCATGCACATACAAAACGCACCCACTCGTGCCGCCAGGCAGCAGATGGGCCCACTGTTGAGTGGCGAAACTGAACAAGCTTTAATAAACTAAGCAGAAGCCAAAAATGAAAAGTACTTAAAGTGCTAAACCCATATGGGTGGCATGTGAAGCGGCTTACTTATTTCTATTTGGTAAATATATTCTGAGGAGGTCTTGTGTTTGTTCTCCACAGAGAGTATGACTAACACTGTCAGCACTAGGGGATTCAAAGCCCGCTGCAGCCAAACAATCTTAAAGTGTGTGCATCCATGGTAGTGTGAGGTGCTTTAGATAACAAGCGAGTGGCTTATGTAAAGTCACACCTTTAATACGCGAGCGACAGCAGTCAGCCTTAACCTCTCTCTTGTGTTGCACCATACATCAGGAGAGTTGGAAGAAGTGAACATGAATACAATCTCTGTATTGTGATTACGTGTCCTTGGATAAAGACTTCAGTCAGTTCAGAAACTTATGTAACTTGGAATAGGATTGTTCCATATGATGTCAAAACATGTTTGATGTTATTCAAGGTAAGCATTGAAACAACTCTATCTTTTAGAAAATAAAAATATGCCATCAAACCTGAATGAATAGATTGTATTTGCCAGGCATGGGCAGCAGATCAAGTTGTAAACAGCAACATATTATCTAATAAAGTTAGTATGGTAAACTGTTTTTCTGAAAATGCAACATTTAGTGAGATCAAATAAATACCCTCCAACTCCAGAGGAAAATATGTGTGAATGTAATCACACACTAGATGGTAGGATACAGGAGGACGAGGATGAAAATAACAGTAAAGTTGATGGCTGCTATGTGTCTTACTTGTGAGAAGCTCTGACATTTGGTGATAAAGGTATTATTGAGTCATAACTTGGAAAAAATAAGGCAGTGATATTTTCCAAGAACCGCTGACATCATCAGTGCACTCTGAACGACACTCATCTTCAAACTTTCCAGAAGTGAACTTCTTCATCTAAGAAGAAACGCCGGATCAGCTGCTCTGGAAGGAGAGAGAGTGAGACTTACCGGCAGCAGCCATGTGCTCGCTGGTCCTGATTGGCTGGAAGCCCACAAAGGGGATCTGCATCGACAGGACGAGACCCACAATGTAGAAAGTGCTATAAGCTGTAAACACAGAAGAGACAAAATGAGAAATAAAGCAATCAAAATAACATACTGCACTATAAACCTTCCATTTTGTTCCACTACTCCAGTTTGGATGCTTCTAAGGGAAATCAACCTCAACAGAAGTATTTCAAGTCTATTGATTTCCACGGCCTTACTCTTGAGTGAGTAAATACAAAATACCTAATCTAATGTCATTTACTGTGCTCTGTGCGGTGTGACGGGAGGCCTGGAGTGTGACGACGGTGCTGAGAACAGTGCGACTCCCACCTTTGTAGCTGGGGGGGGGGACCGATTCGCAGACGCACCATCTTAATTAAGATTTCATACTCTTCCTGAAGAGTGAGCCTGGTTTTTGAAGAAGTTGTGGTCGCCCTCAGCTAACTCTTACTCACACATCTGCTATTGACTCAAGACAGGGAGAGATGAAATGTGAGGGAACATAGACCGTGAGGCATTTTATTAAACTGGGATTTCTTTTCTTTTTTTCATGTTCCCTCTTAGTGAGAGAGACACCTGGCTCTAAAGAGGGGAGCTGCAATATGTAAAAGAGGAGAGAAGGTGAGCAATGTGAGACGCGCATAAGGACCTAATGTCTTTTCCATCACCTCGTGTCGACATATTTCTCCATCTCTCATTAGCTACCAAAAGGTGCATGAAGTTGCAGGATGATATTTATGCGGCAGACATCTTTGAGGAACAAAGAAGGGATGTTTTCCACTTCATATAACAGCGCCGCACCGCCAAGTGCAATGTCATGGCTGAATAACAGTTTGGAGCTGGAGCAGAGGTAGGTCAAAACCATCTCACTGTGGAGAGACCGTCATTTATTTTCAAACCTCTTAAGAACCACGATTTGCAGTTACAATAGATACAACATATAATCATGTGAAAAATATACTTTACACCGTGGTTTTTTTTCTTGATCCCAACAGAAGTGCCTGTCGCGAGCTCGTATTCAAGCTGAGGACGAATGTGTGGTGGTTCTTTGAGCCAACACACAATGTGCCAAGGCTGGTTGGTGCTGTGCTGTGACACTGGGATGTTCGCTGGAATAATAAGCCTACCCTCTCCACCAGCGTTCTGCCTCTCGTATTTGCACACAATAAAACGTATAGATCAGGTAGTAGGTGGCTGCGTTTACTGTTAAGTGGTGTGTGGGTGTGTGGATGTCTGAACTGCAGATGATGGAACGCTTACGGTTGTGAAAGATGAGCACAAGCATTTGAGCTCGTTTCAGGGTCAAATGCTGAGGCAACGATGCTGGGAAACACAACTGAAGGACTGGTGGTTTTTGTTCCGTTTATTGCATACAATTCTATTCTAATGGAAGAGGATCTGAAAAGACTGTCAGTTTCAATTTCAACAACAGTTTGTGGGGGTGCTTTAGACATCAAGTACTTCAAGTAAATGTGTGTGCGCGTGTAGCTTACCGATGTAGACTCTTTTGCTGTAGCGTTGCATCAGCATCAGCACAAACACGTGCAGAGGAATCAGGTTGATAATGAACACATAACCTCCCCATGCGGACACCTGGAACACACACATTCAAATAGTAATGTCAGTCGGACTGCTGAATTTCATATGATCAAACATTCTTCATTTATTTATTTCAAACAAGGTCACCAAGCTGAGTGGAGGCTTTCGTGTTATTCGGTTACTTATCACAGGGTATATGCAGGAATCCTGAAGTCGAATGTAAGAGCTTTTTGAAGACCCTTTCCATACATTTTAAGACCTCATCGCCACTTGGAGTTTTAACCGGTTACATTGGCGACACACTTTACCTCACATTTACTATACACAGTATTGATTGACCTTCCTCCTTATCTTCCAACCATTTGGACGCAAACTTGCATTTCCCCATAACGATGTTGTTTAACAACCGGCGTAAACGGACCTTCCCGCGCTATCAAGCAGTGAGCGTGCGATGTCCTGTTCAGGTGACGTCACATCCAACGGGACGCCATAATCACACTACACACCTACGCAATGATTACATTCAGGCACACTGTAGAATACAACCTCTTTGGTT